GTGGAATTCTCAAGAAAAAGACTTACAAAGTTGTAAAACCATTTTAGAATTCAAACAGACTTACAAGAGGAAACAAATCCAAATCTACAAAAGTGATGTTTAATTACGTGTTATGTTTATTATGAAATGTATGTGCGGGTATGTATATGTATGTATGTGTATATATGTATGTGTGTATGTATGTATGTATATATATATATATATATTGTATGTGCTTATATGTGTTTATAAAGAAGGCAGAGGAATCAGCAGCAAACCATATAATTTTGTTTTGTAAAAGAGGGGGCAGAATTATATAAGAATAATATTCTTCTATCTGCTCCTTTCTGATCATGGAAATGATTGAATGATTTGTTTGAATGATTTGAAACTTGTATAATTATGCATTTTCATGAAACGAATAAAAAGAACCTAAACCTAAATGTCTCAGAGAGAGTGATGTCACAGAGAGAGTGATGTCACAGAGAGAGTGACGTCACAGAGAGAGAGTGATGTCACAGAGAGAGTGATGTCACAGAGAGAGTGACGTCACAGAGAGAGTGATGTCACAGAGAGAGTGATGTCACAGAGAGAGTGATGTCACAGAGAGAGAGTGATGTCACGGAGAGAGTGACGTCACAGAGAGAGAGTGATGTCACAGAGAGAGTGATGTCACAGAGAGAGAGTGATGTCACGGAGAGAGTGACGTCACAGAGAGAGAGTGATGTCACAGAGAGAGAGTGACGTCACAGAGAGAGTGATGTCACAGAGAGAGTGATGTCACAGAGAGAGTGATGTCACAGAGAGAGTGACGTCACAGAGAGAGTGATGTCACAGACAGAGTGATGTCACAGAGAGAGTGATGTCACAGAGAGAGTGACGTCACAGAGAGACTGATGTCACAGAGAGAGTGACGTCACAGAGAGAGTGATGTCACAGAAAGAGTGACGTCACAGAGATAGTGATGTCACAGAAAGAGTGACGTCACAGAGAGAGTGACGTCACAGAGAGAGTGACGTCACAGAGAGAGTGATGTCACAGAAAGAGTGACGTCACAGAGAGAGTGATGTCACAGAAAGAGTCACGTCACAGAGAGAGTGATGTCACAGAGAGAGAGTGATATCACAGAGAAAGTGATGTCACAGAGAGAGTGACGTCACAGAGAGAGAGTGACGTCACAGAGAGAGTGATGTCACAGAGAGAGAGTGATGTCACAGAAAGAGTGAAGAGAGAGTGATGTCACAGAGAGAGAGTGATGTCACAGAGAAAGTGATGTCACAGAGAGAGTGACGTCACAGAGAGAGTGATGTCACAGAAAGAGTGACGTCACAGAGAGAGAGTGACGTCACAGAGAAAGTGATGTCACAGAGAGAGTGACGTCACAGAGAGAGTGATGTCACAGAAAGTGTGACGTCACAGAGAGAGTGATGTCACAGAAAGAGTGACGTCACAGAGAGAGCGTGACGTCACAGAGAAAGTGATGTCACAGAAAGAGTGACGTCACAGAGAGAGAGTGATGTCACAGAAAGTGTGACGTCACAGAGAGAGTGATGTCACAGAAAGAGTGACGTTACAGAGACAGAGTGACGTCACAGAGAGAGTGACGTCACAGAGAGAGTGATGTCACAGAGAAAGTGATGTCACAGAGAGAGTGATGTCACAGAGAGAGTGACGTCACAGAGAGAGTGACGTCACAGAGAGAGTGATGTCACAGAGAGAGTGATGTCACAGAGAGAGTGATGTCACAGAGAGAGTGACGTCACAGAGAGAGTGACGTCACAGAGAGAGTGATGTCACAGAGAGAGTGATGTCACAGAGAGAGTGACGTCACAGAGAGAGTGACGTCACAGAGAGAGTGATGTCACAGAGAAAGTGATGTCACAGAGAGAGTGATGTCACAGAGAGAGTGACGTCACAGAGAGAGTGACGTCACAGAGAGAGTGACGTCACAGAGAGAGTGATGTCACAGAAAGAGTGACGTCACAGAGAGAGTGACGTCACAGAAAGAGTGACGTCACAGAGAGAGTGACGTCACAGAGAGAGAGTGACGTCACAGAGAGAGTGACGTCACAGAGACAGTGATGTCACAGAAAGAGTGACGTCACAGAGAGAGTGATGTCACAGAAAGAGTCACGTCACAGAGAGAGTGATGTCATAGAGAGAAAGTGATGTCACAGAGAAAGTGATGTCACAGAGAGAGTGACGTCACAGAGAGAGAGTGACGTCACAGAGAGAGTGATGTCACAGAGAGAGAGTGATGTCACAGAGAGAGTGATGTCACAGAAAGAGTGACATCACAGAGAGAGTGATGTCACAGAGAGAGTGATGTCACAGAGAGAGTGATGTCACAGAGAGAGTGATGTCACAGAGAGAGAGTGATGTCACAGAGAAAGTGATGTCACAGAGAGAGTGACGTCACAGAGAGAGTGATGTCACAGAAAGAGTGACGTCACAGAGAGAGAGTGATGTCACAGAAAGTGTGACGTCACAGAGAGAGTGATGTCACAGAAAGAGTGACGTCACAGAGAGAGAGTGACGTCACAGAGAAAGTGATGTCACAGAGAGAGTGACGTCACAGAGAGAGTGATGTCACAGAAAGTGTGACGTCACAGAGAGAGTGATGTCACAGAAAGAGTGACGTCACAGAGAGAGAGTGACGTCACAGAGAAAGTTATGTCACAGAGAGAGTGACGTCACAGAGAGAGTGATGTCACAGAAAGAGTGACGTCACAGAGAGAGAGTGATGTCACAGAAAGTGTGACGTCACAGAGAGAGTGATGTCACAGAAAGAGTGACGTCACAGAGAGAGAGTGACGTCACAGAGAGAGTGACGTCACAGAGAGAGTGATGTCACAGAGAAAGTGATGTCACAGAAAGAGTGACGTCACAGAGAGAGTGACGTCACAGAGAGAGTGACGTCACACAGAGAGTGATGTCACAGAGAAAGTGATGTCACAGAGAGAGTGATGTCACAGAGAGAGTGACGTCACAGAGAGAGTGACGTCACAGAGAGAGTGATGTCACAGAGAAAGTGATGTCACAGAGAGAGTGATGTCACAGAGAGAGTGACGTCACAGAGAGAGTGATGTCACAGAGAAAGTGATGTCACAGAGAGAGTGACGTCACAGAGAGAGTGATGTCACAGAAAGAGTGACGTCACAGAGAGAGAGTGACGTCACAGAGAAAGTGATGTCACAGAGAGAGTGACGTCACAGAGAGAGTGATGTCACAGAAAGTGTGACGTCACAGAGAGAGTGATGTCACAGAAAGAGTGACGTCACAGAGAGAGAGTGACGTCACAGAGAGAGTGACGTCACAGAGAGAGTGATGTCACAGAGAAAGTGATGTCACAGAGAGAGTGATGTCACAGAGAGTGTGACGTCACAGAGAGATTGACGTCACAGAGAGAGTGATGTCACAGAGAAAGTGATGTCACAGAGAGAGTGATGTCACAGAGAGAGTGACGTCACAGAGAGAGTGACGTCACAGAGAGAGTGATGTCACAGAGAAAGTGATGTCACAGAGAGAGTGATGTCACAGAGAGAGTGACGTCACAGAGAGAGTGACGTCACAGAGAGAGTGATGTCACAGAGAAAGTGATGTCACAGAGAGAGTGATGTCACAGAGAGAGTGACGTCACAGAGAGAGTAATGTCACAGAGAGAGAGTGATGTCACAGAGAGAGTGACGTCACAGAGAGAGTGACGTCACAGAGAGAGTGATGTCACAGAGAGAGTGATGTCACAGAGAGAGTGACGTCACAGAGAGAGTGATGTCACAGAGAGAGTGACGTCACAGAGAGAGTGACGTCACAGAGAGAGTGACGTCACAGAGAAAGTGATGTCACAGAGACAGTGATGTCACAGAGAGAGAGATGTCACAGAGAGTGATGTCACAGAGAGAGTGACGTCACAGAGAGAGTGACGTCACAGAGAGAGTGACGTCACAGAAAGAGTGACGTCACAGAGAGAGAGTGATGTCACAGAGAGAGTGACGTCACAGAGAGATTGATGTCACAGAGAGAGAGTGATGTCACAGAGAGAGTGACGTTAGAGAGACAGTGATGTCACAGAAAGAGTGATGTCACAGAGAGAGTGATGTCACAGAGAAAGTGATGTCACAGAGAGATTGATGTCACAGAAAGAGTGATGTCACAGAGAGAGTGACGTCACAGAGACAGTGATGTCACAGAAAGAGTGATGTCACAGAGAGATTGATGTCACAGAGAGTGACGTCACAGAGACAGTGATGTCACAGAGAGAGTGATGTCACAGAGAGATTGATGTCACAGAGAGTGACGTCACAGAGACAGTGATGTCACAGAAAGAGTGATGTCACAGAGAGAGTGACGTCACAGAGACAGTGATGTCACAGAGAGAGTGATGTCACAGAGAAAGTGATGTCACAGAGAGAGTGATGTCACAGAGAGAGTGACGTAACAGAGACAGTGATGTCACAGAGAGAGTGACGTCACAGAGAGATTGATGTCACAGAGAGAGAGTGATGTCACAGAGAGAGTGACGTCACAGAGACAGTGATGTCACAGAAAGAGTGATGTCACAGAGAGAGTGATGTCACAGAGAGAGTGACGTCACAGAGACAGTGATGTCACAGAAATAGTGATGTCACAGAGAGAGTGATGTCACAGAGAAAGTGATGTCACAGAGAGATTGATGTCACAGAGAGATTGATGTCACAGAGAGTGATGTCACAGAGAGTGATGTCACAGAGAGAGTGATGTCACAGAGAGAGTGATGTCACAGAGAGTGACGTCACAGAGAGAGTGACGTCACAGAGAGAGTGATGTCACAGAGAGTGATGTCACAGAGAGTAAATGACATCATACTTTAACAGGACTGAGACTAGAGCTTTTAGACAGAGGGGGAGATTATACTAATACTAACGTGGATAGATCTAAAAACAGCTCCAGGTCTGATGAGGGAGAAACACATGGTCAGAGTCTCAGAACAGTGGATATAGCAGAAAAGGACAATATCATGTGACATCATCACTGTGTCTCAGGATGTTCAGGAGGTCGTTCACCATCGCTCTGCCCGAGCAGCCGCCAGACATCGTTGCCCACCTCCGGGTAAGACCTGTCAATCACTTGTCACTCACCAGTAAGTCACATGTCACTCACCTGTCAGTCACATGTCAATCACCTGTTAGTCACCTGTCAGTCACATGTCAATCACCTGTCAGTCACCTGTCAGTCACCTGTCAGTCACATGTCAATCACCTGTCAGTCATATGTCAATCACCGGTGAGTCACCTGTCACTCACCTGTCACTCACCAGTCAGTCACATGTCAGTCACAAGTCAGTCACATGTCAATCACCTGTCACTCACCTGTCAGTCACATTTCAATCACCTGTCAGTCACATGTCAATCACCTGTCAGTCACCTGTCAGTCACCTGTCAGTCACATGTCAATCACCTGTCAGTCATATGTCAATCACCGGTGAGTCACCTGTCACTCACCTGTCACTCACCAGTCAGTCACATGTTAATCACATGTCACTCACCTGTCAATCACCTGTCACTCACCTCTCAGTCACATGTCAGTCACATGTCAGTCACAAGTCAGTCACATGTCAGTCACATGTCAATCACCTATCAATCACCTGTCAGTCACATTTCAATCAGCTGTCAGTCACCTGTCAGTCACATGTCATTCACCTGTCAGTCACCTGTCAGTCACATGTCAATCACCTGTCAGTCACATGTCATTCACATGTCAATCACCCGTCAGTCACTTGTCAGTCACATGTCAATCACCTGTCACTCACCTGTCAGTCACATGTTAATCATATGTCACTCACCTGTCAATCACCTGTCACTCACCTGTCAGTCACATGTCAGTCACATGTCACTCACCTGTCACTCACCTGTCAGTCACATGTCAGTCACATGTCAATCACATGTCACTCACCTGTCACTCACCTGTCAGTCACATGTTAGTCACATGTCACTCACCTGTCACTCACCTGTCAATCACATGTCACTCACCTGTCACTCACCTGTCAGTCACATGTCAATCACATGTCAGTCACTTGCCTCAAGGTAAGACCACATGACAGCAGGAGCAGTGACACCTACATCAGTATCATCAGTATCATCAGTGACATCAGTATCATCAGTATCATCAGTATCATCAGTATCATCAGTGACATCAGTATCATCAGTGACATCAGTATCATCAGTATCATCAGTAACATCAGTATCATCAGTGACATCAGTAACATCAGTATCATCAGTGACATCAGTATCATCAGTATCATCAGTATCATCAGTGACATCAGTAACATCAGTATCATCAGTAACATCAGTATCATCAGTAACATCAGTAACATCAGTATCATCAGTGACATCAGTATCGTCAGTAACATCAGTATCATCAGTATCATCAGTGACATCAGTATCATCAGTAACATCAGTAACATCAGTAACATCAGTATCATCAGTGACATCAGTATCATCAGTATCATCAGTAACATCAGTAACATCAGTATCATCAGTAACATCAGTATCATCAGTAACATCAGTATCATCAGTAACATCAGCGACATCAGTATCATCAGTAACATTAGTATCATAAGTAACATCAGTATCATAAGTATCATCAGTATAATCAGTAACATCATTATCATCAGTATCATCAGTAACATCAGTATCATCAGTGACATCAGTATCATCAGTGACATCAGTATCATCAGTAACATCAGTATCATCAGTGACATCAGTAATATCAGTATCATCAGTATCATCAGTAACATCACTATCATAAGTAACATCAGTAACATCAGTATCATCAGTAACATCAGTGACATCAGTATCATCAGTAACATCAGTATCATCAGTATCATCAGTAACATCGGTAACATCAGTATCATCAGTAACATCAGTATCATCAGTATCATCAGTATCATCAGTAACATCAGTATCATCAGTATCATCAGTAACATCAGTATCATCAGTAACATCAGTATAATCAGTATCATCAGTAACATCAGTAACATCAGTAACATCAGTATCATCAGTATCATCAGTATCATCAGTAACATCAGTATCATCAGTAACATCAGTACCATCAGTAACATCAGTATCATCAGTAACATCAGTACCATCAGTAACATCAGTATCATCAGTAACATCAGTAACATCAGTATCATCAGTAACATCAGTACCATCAGTAACATCAGTATCATCAGTAACATCAGTAACATCAGTATCATCAGTAACATCAGTACCATCAGTACCATCAGTATCAGCAGTATCATCAGTATCATCAGTAACATCAGTATCATCAGTATCATCAGTAACATCAGTAACATCAGTAACATCAGTATCATCAGTATCATCAGTATCATCAGTAACATCAGTAACATCAGTATCATCAGTATCATCAGTAACATCAGTATCATCAGTATCATCAGTAACATCAGTACCATCAGTAACATCAGTATCATCAGTAACATCAGTATCATCAGTAACATCAGTACCATCAGTATCAGCAGTATCATCAGTATCATCAGTACCATCAGTATCATCAGTATAACATCAGTATCATCAGTATAGTCAGTAACATCAGTGTCATCAGTAAAATCAGTAACATCATTATCATCAGTAACATCACTGTCATCAGTAACATCAGTATCATCAGTAACATCAGTATCATCAGTATCATCAGTAACATCAGTATTATCGGTATCATCAGTAACATCAGTATCATCAGTATCATCAGTATCATCAGTGTCATCAGTAACATCAGTAACATCAGTACCATCAGTATCATCAGTAACATCAGTATCATCAGTAAAATCAGTAACATCACTATCATCAGTATCATCAGTAACATCACTATCATCAGTGACATCAGTATCATCAGTATCATCAGTAACATCAGTACCATCAGTATCATCAGTATCATCAGTAACATCAGTGTCATCAGTATCATCAGTAACATCAGTATCATCAGTAACATCAGTATCATCATTGTCATCAGTATCATCAGTTTCATCAGTATCATCAGTATCATCATTGTCATCAGTAACATCAGTATAACATCAGTATCATCAGTATCATCAGTAACATCAGTATCATCAGTAACATCGGTAACATCAGTATCATCAGTATCATCAGTAACATCAGTATCATTGTATCATCAGTATCATCAGTAACATCAGTATCATCAGTATCATCAGTATCATCAGTAACATCAGTAACATCAGTGTCATCAGTATCATCAGTAACATCACTGTCATCAGTAACATCAGTATCATCAGTATCATCAGTAACATCAGTAACATCAGTATCATCAGTATCATCAGTAACATCAGTATCATCGGTATCATCAGTATCATCAGTAACATCAGTATCATCAGTAACATCAGTAACATCAGTGTCATCAGTGTCATCAGTAACATCACTATCATCAGTAACATCAGTGACATCAGTATCATCAGTAACATCAGTATCATCAGTATCATCAGTAACATCAGTATCATCAGTGTCATCGTTATCATCAGTAACATTACTATCATCAGTATCATCAGTAACATCACTGTCATCAGTGACATCAGTATCATCAGTAACATCAGTATCATCACTATCATCAGTGACATCAGTATCATCAGTAACATCAGTATCATCAGTAACATCAGTAACATCACTGTCATCAGTAACATCAGTATCATCAGTAACATCAGTATCATCAGTATCATCAGTAACATCAGTATTATCGGTATCATCAGTAACATCAGTATCATCAGTATCATCAGTATCATCAGTGTCATCAGTAACATCAGTAACATCAGTACCATCAGTATCATCAGTAACATCAGTATCATCAGTAAAATCAGTAACATCACTATCATCAGTATCATCAGTAACATCACTATCATCAGTGACATCAGTATCATCAGTATCATCAGTAACATCAGTACCATCAGTATCATCAGTATCATCAGTAACATCAGTGTCATCAGTATCATCAGTAACATCAGTATCATCAGTAACATCAGTATCATCATTGTCATCAGTATCATCAGTTTCATCAGTATCATCAGTATCATCATTGTCATCAGTAACATCAGTATAACATCAGTATCATCAGTATCATCAGTAACATCAGTATCATCAGTAACATCGGTAACATCAGTATCATCAGTAACATCAGTATCATCAGTATCATCAGTAACATCAGTATCATCGGTATCATCAGTATCATCAGTAACATCAGTATCATCAGTATCATCAGTATCATCAGTAACATCAGTAACATCAGTGTCATCAGTATCATCAGTAACATCACTGTCATCAGTAACATCAGTATCATCAGTATCATCAGTAACATCAGTAACATCAGTATCATCAGTATCATCAGTAACATCAGTATCATCGGTATCATCAGTATCATCAGTAACATCAGTAACATCAGTATCATCAGTAACATCAGTAACATCAGTGTCATCAGTGTCATCAGTAACATCACTATCATCAGTAACATCAGTGACATCAGTATCATCAGTAACATCAGTATCATCAGTATCATCAGTAACATCAGTATCATCAGTGTCATCGTTATCATCAGTAACATTACTATCATCAGTATCATCAGTAACATCACTGTCATCAGTGACATCAGTATCATCAGTAACATCAGTATCATCACTATCATCAGTGACATCAGTATCATCAGTAACATCAGTATCATCAGTAACATCAGTAACATCACTATCATCAGTGACATCAGTATCATCAGTAACATTAGTATCATCAGTAACATCAGTATCATCAGTAACATCAGTAACATCAGTATCATCAGTATCATCAGTAACATCAGTATCATCAGTATCATCAGTAACATCAATATCATCAGTAACATCAGTATCATCAGTAACATCAGTAACATCAGTATCATCAGTAACATCACTATCATAAGTAACATCAGTAACATCAGTATCATCAGTAACATCAGTGACATCAGTATCATCAGTAACATCAGTATCATCAGTATCATCAGTAACATCGGTAACATCAGTATCATCAGTAACATCAGTATCATCAGTATCATCAGTATCATCAGTA